TGGGCACCAGTTCTAATCCTGGTGGCCCCACTTCCCATCCAGCTCCCTGCTTGTGTCCTGGGAAAGCAGTCGAGGACGCCCCAAGGCCTTGGGACCCTGCACCTGTGTAGGAGACCCAGAAGAGGCTCTGGGTTCCTGGCTCTTGATCGGTTCAGCTCTGGCTGTTGCAGCCACTTGGGGAGTGAACCAGTGCATGGAAAATCTTTCTATCTTTCCTTCACTCTGTAAATCTGGCTTTCCAATAAAAATCAATAAATCTTTTAAAATATGTATTATTTTTATCTTAAACACTTGAGCCATCATCTGCTGCCTCTACATATGGGCAGGGGTTGGGAACAGAGCCAGCCAAGGCTCAAGCCCTGGGACTTAGATGTGGAACATGGACATCTGACCTGCTAGGCTGATTCTCTCCAGAGAAATCCAGATCTGAGCTGCAGTTACTTTTACGGTCCCAGGAAGCTTTTCATGGGCACTGATCATATTATTCTCAAGCTTTTACAAGAAAAAGCAAAACTCTAAGCGTGAACCAAGACACTCAGATGAGAACAGAATGCATGCTGTAGTTTTGTCAAGTATCAAGACTAATCAAAAGGTAGAATATAATACATACAATGAGATATTGGCAAAGGAAGAGATAAGCATAACTTCTGGTAGATGCTCCACACTTAATCTAACCCTACATTAACAAGGCCAAATTGTACTGTTTTTTTTTAATACAGCTCAATAAAAGAACAAAATGATCCTACATTCAAGACCACATAAACCTAAATATTATCTTCAAAACTGAGCAACAAGCTGAATATGTTTTGTGGGCATACATATACAAGTGATTTAAATATATATACAACTATATCTTATTAATATTATTGACAGTATATTTATATATAATAATTTAATAATTCATATAGCCGAATAAAATAAAATAATAGATAATACATTTTGTGATATTAATTTAATATTATTGATAAATTTAATAATATTTAATAAATATATATTTAAATATATGAGATGAAAGATAAAAGGCAATGGAAAGATGAGCAGAGTCAGGAGAGGCAGAAGTGAAAGACAGTGAGCCACGGGTTCAGGCATTTGGTCGTGTCCCAGCTTTTGGGCTGAAAGCTGGAGCAAGGAATTAACTATGCCATACTTTGCATTAAAGCTTACGGATCCATATGGGTATTTACTTGTGGTTAAGACACCTGTTCCCTTGGGCCCGGCGCGGTGGCGCAAGTGGTTAAAGGTCCTCACCTTGCACCCCCGGGATCCCATATGGGCGCCGGTTCTAATCCCGGCAGCCCTGCTTCCCTTCCAGCTCCCTGCCTGTGGCCTGGGAAAGCAGTCGAGGATGGCCCAAAGCTTTGGGACCCTGCACCCGCGTGGGAGACCCTGAAGAGGCTCCTGGCTTCGGATCGGCATAGTATCGGCCCGTTGCGCTCACTTGGGGAGTGAATCATCGGACAGAAGATCTTCCTCTCTGTCTCTCCTCTCTGTATATCCGCCTTTCCAATGAAAAAATAATAAAAATAAATCTTTAAAAAGACACCTGTTCCCACATCAGTGTGCCTGTGCTTAATTCTCAAATCTGGCTCCTGACCCCAGTCTCCCACCAGTGTAGACCCTGGAACACTGTAGTGATGGCTCTGGTAGTTGAGTTCCTAACACCTTTATGAGAAACTTGATATGAGTTCTGGACTCCCAGCCCTGCCTGGCCCTGGCCCTGCCTTAGCCAATGTGGGCATTTGAAGAAGTGAATCAGCAGATGGGAGCCTCTTATTGTGTATCCGGCTGCATCTCAGATTTTTTTTTTTTTTTTTTTAGAAAGGCAGATTTACAGAAAGAAGGCAAAACAGACAGAAAGATCTTCTAACTGCTGGTTCATTCCCCAAGCGGTCACAACAGCTAGAGTTGGCTAAGGCAAAGCCAGGAGCTTCTCTCTGGTCTCCCATGCAGTTGCAGGGTCCCCAGGCTTTGGACCATCCTCCACTGCTCTCCCACGCCATAATCAGGAAGCTGAATCAGAAGTGGATCAGCCAGGGCATGAACTGACACCCATCTGGGATCCTGGTGCTTATGAGGGGAGGATTAGCCAACTGAGCTATCACACCAGACCCTGCATCTCAAATTTAAAACAAAAAAAAAAAGCTTTACATATACTTCTTTACATAGAAAATATTTTGAAAGGTTAAATAATTACAAACTACAAATACTGTTAGAACGCCACAAATTTTTTTGTTGTCTTTCACTATAGATTGTCCTGGAAATTATTCTGTGTTAGTATATGAGGATCTGTCTCATTAATTCTAGTGACTGCATGAAGTCTCCCTCTCTGTGTATTCCATAATTTATTTAAGTATTCCTCTCTAATCATGATTGATTTATTTTTATTGGAAAGTCAGATATACAGAGAGGAGGAGAGACTGAGAAGATCTTCTATCCTCTGATTTGATCCGCAAGTGGCTGTAATGGCCGGAGCTAAGCCAATCTGAAGCCAGGAGCAAGGAGATTCTTCTGGGTCTCCCACACTGGTGCAGGGTCCCAAGGCTTTATGTCGTCTTCGACTGCTTTCCCAGGCTACAAGCAGGGAGCTGGATGGGAAGAGGGGCAGCCAGGGTATGAACCAGCACACATATGAGATCCTGGCGCATGTAAAGTGAGAACTTTAGCCACTAGGCTACCATGCTGGACCCTGTGTTTTTTTAATAGTCAGTCAACAGTGTTGCTATTGAAATTACTCCTACATCCTGGTATGGTATCTACCCAAGACCAAACTTCTAGAAGTGGAATTCCTAGGGTAAGAAACAGTATTGGAGCTGGCATTGTGGTGCAGCATGTTGAGCCCCTGCCTGCAATGCCAACATCTCCTATGGGTGCTAGTTTGGGTTCCAGCAGCTCCATTTCCGACCAACCTCCCCTGTCCGATGCTCCTACAAAGCAGTGGAAGATGGTCAAGTCCTTAGGTCCCTGAACCCACATGGGACATCTAGGTGAAACTCCTGGCTCCAGCCCAGCTCAGCCTCAGCCATTTAGGGAAGGAACCAGTGGATGGAAGATTACTCTCTGCTTCACTCTCTTTCTCTGTAAGTTGGCCTTTCAAGTAAAATAGAATTAGAAAGGAGGGAAGGAGGAAGGGAGGGAGAGAGAAGGACAGTGTCGCAATGCCGAATCGATGGCTGAACTGATTATCTGAGGACAGTGATCGTTTCAGGCAATGGTGAGACATCCAAGTGGGGAAGCCCCACAGATAGTGTGAGCAGGAAGTGTGTGCGCTCAGATGCTTCTGCACTGGCAGCTCTCTGGAACAGGACAGGTGTGGATGTGGGCTAAGGGTGACTCCTCACGTATTCACTGCTTGAGAGAACCAAGATTCCAGAACCATAAGGCCTGCATGACTAGGGGGCAGCTGTCCCATGGCAGACACAGGGTGTCGCCGGAACTCTCCTACTCCCTGAGGGGGAAACGCAAAGAGATCTGGACGGGGAAGAGAGAGAGAGAGAGAATATGTGGACATGGGCAAGAGTGACTCCTTTTCCCAAGCGCAGCAAAGGCCAGCCGCATGGGGCGGCCCCCTCAAGAGAAGGCTGCGGTTGCAAATGGGAGGTTAGGGGGGGATTCCTCCCGCTGACAGCAGGTGCAGCTATGTGCAGCTCTTCTCCAATCCAGACAACATACTAATCATAAACACATTTCAGCCGGCATCCTCTCCAGGCCCATGTTCTCGATGGCATCAGTAAATATTCCCCGTCCGCCCACATACCCAGGGTCCTACCTTAGGGACAGGGCTAGAGGGAGAGGTAAGGCACTAGCCCTGGGCGTAAAACATATAATGGTACAAATTAAAAAGTTGATAATAAATATAAATATAATTTTAATGAACTACTTTAAGGATTTAAAATAAGGCAAAAGCTCCACCATGAGCCGACTGTCCAAGTTTAAAGAAAAACCAGGATCCCACTCCACACTTGCACCACCCTGCTCCACTAGTCGTAAATCTAAACAAGCAATGCACATCCCCCCTCTAGCCTCATAATTGGTCAATATTGATGCTTTAAACGATTTATTTATTTTTATTGGAAAGGCAGTTTTACAAAGAAGGAGAGACAGTGAGAAAGATCTTTCTATCTGCTGGTTCACTCCCCAAGTGGCTGCGGCCAAGGGCTTAGCTGATCCAAAGCCAGGAGCCAGGAGCTTCTTCCTGGTCTCCCCTGTGGGTGCAAGGTTCCCAAGTCTTTAGGCCGTCCTCTTCTGCTTTCCCAGGTCACAAGCAGGGAGCTGGATAGGAGATGGAACAGTCTGGACACAAACCGGCTCCCATGTGGGATCCCGGCGGATGCAAGGCGAGGATTTAGCCACGGTACCATCACGCTGGGCCCAGTCAATATTTTTAAGACGTTCTCTGTTTGTATATTGTTGCAAACACACACATAATTTACACACCCAGAGTTGGCCATCTCATCCATTTTTTAAGTACTCAGTGACATTTTTTATTAGTACCTCCAGGTTGTGTAACGACGGTCTGAAAATGTTGTTTTGAAATATATTATATACCGTGACTGCTGAATGTGGAGAGCGTTTAAAGCTTGCTCGGGAGGCTAAATCCCTCACTCGCTTCATCCTAGGTCCTCGTTCCGCCTCTCCCTCTCTTGAACCCAACACTGTTCTTTCTTACTTGAAGCTACAGCGGACTGACGTTCACCAAGGACGTCCGTCCAGTCCGCCACCTGTGACGGGAGACTTGCTCCGCCTGCATCCGTTCGCTCTCCTCCCGCTAAGTGACACACCTGGCTGGCACGCCCTCTACCTGCCCCGGGCCACCTGGCGGGCAGCGTCGGCGCCCGGCCCGCCCCCACTCGGGTCCGCGGGGCCTTCCTGCCGGCCGATGGACAGAGGGAGGAGCCCTGGCCGCGTCCCGCCGAGCGGCCAATGGGAACGCACCATGCAAATGAGCAGGTGCGGTGGCGGCCGGCCCGTTGCGACGGCCCGAGCCTCGGGATGTTAGAGGCGCGCTGGGCGGCCGCCGAGCAGACGCCCGGGCTTCGAGCAGCGAGCTCCGGTCTCCCACCATGGCCCCCGCTCCGCCCCCAGCCGCCTCCTTCTCGCCCGCCGAGGTCCAGCGGCGCCTGGCGGCCGGCGCCTGTTGGGTCCGCCTCGGGGTCCGCCTCTACGACCTCACTGGCTTCGCGCGGCACCACCCGGGGGGCGAGCAGCTGCTGCGGGCGCGGGCGGGCCAGGACATCAGCGCAGATCTGGACGGACCCCCGCACAAGCACTCTGACAACGCGCGCCGCTGGCTGGAGCAGTACTACGTGGGCGAGCTGCGCGGGGACCCGCAGGTAACAGCCGGCTGGGGTCACACCCACCCGAGCTCCCTTCCCCCATCACGTCCCAGGCGAGGACCCAAGGTGCCAACCCTCTGTCCTCCCCTCGCAACGTTCCTGCTTCTTGTCTCCAGGGAACAGGTCACGGGCCCCTTCCTCTCTGCACCCTCCAGCTCGCCCAGCCGTCTCCCTGGCCCTCATGCGTCTGTCTGCTAGTCCTCCCGCCTCCTTCCAAGTCGTTGCTAACGCCAGCCCCCTGCCTTCCCATGGCGTGGGACCCCAGTACCGGCTCCAGAGCCCCTACAAAGCCGGGGCTTTCCTTCCTCTTCCATTATCTGCCTCTCCCTTTTCACAACTGTTCCTTCATTCCTGTTGGAGTGATAAGTTAAGAGGCTCATCTGTCCTTTGGTCTCCCCATCCCACCTAGCTTCCACTTCCAAGGGCCACGGTTCAGAAAGTCCCTCAAAGAGCTTGGATTTCCTGATGTGGCGCTGACTTGTACCAGGGCTTCATTCAGTGCCTGGACGGAGAGGTCCCGGCCTTGTCTTGGGGGTCCTGGGTGGAGTTTGTTACCTGCTCTAGGATGTGGAAACGGATGTGCCCAACAGACAGTTGATCAGTGTGGTCGGTGGAAAAGGCAAAATGAAGGCTGCCTTCTCTCCCAAGGATCTCTCAGATGAGGGAGATGGGCCCAGGGAGACTCAGGCCCCCAGGCCAGCTCACTCTGTGTGAACCCCAGACTCCCCTGTGGAACTGGTGACAGCAGGGAGCCTCCAAACGTGACTTCTCCCAGCTCATGGCTGGACTCAGCAGGTGCTGTTAGACCTTCAGTTGGCAGGTCCTCCCGCTTGCTCTCTGTTCCCCTTGGGATTCCTCTGTGGGTCAGTTCTGCCTGACTCTTCTTGTCATGTTGGTCATTCGCTGGGCTATATATGGATCAACAGCCCTGCGCTGGGCACAAGCAGGCACCGGTGAACAACATGAATATGGCTCCTGTCCTTCTGGTGCTCCAAGCTGGTCACATGACAGTCGATGTGCCACACAGTGCTATCTAGCGGCCTGTGCACCTGGAGGGGCGGCTTCTCCAGAGAACGGCGCTTAGACTGAGAGCTGGTTGATGGACAGGGCTAGACCAGTCAAAGCATGATGGGAAGTATGTTCCTGCTTGAGGGAACAGCATGTGCAAAGGCTCTGAAGGACTCAGCTGCACAATCACTGGACAGAAATCAAACCTCAGTGATGAGCAGTGGGTGGGTGGGTGGGCAAGGCAAGGCAGGTGGAAGGAGGTCAGTGGGGGCTGGCTCCTGCAGGGACATGATCGTGAGACTGACTTTGAGCAGGCAGGGAAGGGATTTACGCAGGGACAAGGTGTGGTCAGAATTGCATCTTAGAGTGTCCTGACTGCAGTGCTTCAAAGGGATGGAGGAGACTGACCAAGACACCAGTGTGGGCGGCGGTGAGGCTGCTGTGACTGAGGACATGGTCTTGGGAGGTTTCATGGGTGGCATACCCTGCTGCGGGAGCCAATGTCAGGTCATGCTGAATATGTGGAAGATTTGGCCACTGGTATCAGACAAGTACAGAGAGAGAGAAAGAGAAACCATTACTGCCAGGCCTGTGATAGCTCTTGGTGCTGGCCATGCGTCGCAATCATGTCCTACAGTCAGGAACTGTGGGCTGTGGCCTGTCATCCCAGAACCATCCTGAGAATCACCCTGGCCAGCTGCCCCCTCCAGGGCTCCACCTCCGCCAACCGCCTGGCACCAGGGTTTGCTTTGGCCCAGCTTTCTTTTGCCTTACCTCGTCCTCACAACAGATCCAGAAGGCATGCCAAGTTTGCAAGTGCTTCCTCCTCCTGCAAAGAGTACCCATTACCCCAGGAGTCCCAATAGGGGTTTGTACTGCAAGGATTCTGACTGCTCAGCCACAACCCAAGGAGGTGGGAAAAGACTGCACATAACACCCATGTAAGCCCATGGGGCCAAACCTGAGCAGTAACCACGTAAGCCATACACTTCAGGTACCCGTTAGCTTCTGTCTACAGATCTCAACTCAGGAACTAGAACGGGATTATCTTTAAACTGGGGGAGAGAGCTAGGGTTGGATGTGCTTTCAGAGATGGCTGGATAAAGGACAGGCTTTCTAGCATCCCCACGCCACCTTCTCCACCTCTTTCCTTCTGTGGATCAGGGCTACCCATAGTCACTGAGATCAAGGTACCTCCTGCAGTGACAGTAGCATCAGGAAGGGCCAGGAGCCAGCTCTGTGGCCAGGGACTCATTCCCGAATGGTGCCTCTCCTAGGGGATCTTCTTCCTTAGCTTCGTCACTGGCTGGGACCACCTGTGCTCTTGGTCCCATTTGTTTTTCTGCCACACACACACACACACACACACACACACACACACACACACAAACACACACACACACACACACACACACACCAGGTACACACATGCACATTCACACTCACAGACACATGCACTAGTGCAGCTTCCTTGAGTCAAATACTGTTCGAGAGATGAGACATAAGCAGCTGGGACCATGGCCTTGACTTTAGAGAAATTGAGCTGCCCACCTTGAACAGGTGAAGGTGTCATGACTAACGCTGGGCCCTCTTCTTGCTAGCTCAGGTAAGAGGGATGTTCTTCCAACTGCAGCACACACAGCTGCTGTGCACAAAGCTCATGTGAATTGCAACTGGCCCTTTCTATAAAAGAAGCCAGAAAAGGGTTTGGGGCCTCAACTCCTTGCAGGCTGTGCTACTGTATTTTCCAGGCTTTGGTTATGGATGAGTCACTATAGCAGTTCTCTCTGAATTGGCATACCTCTTGAATCATTATCCTTAATACTTACCTTTAGATTGACTCACTTTTTTATCATTTACTCATCCTAGATGATAATACCAGTGACATCATTGGTGGGTGTTGAGTTTTTTTTCTCTTTTTTTCAGAGAAAGCTCCCATCTGCTGGTTCACTCCCCAAGGGCCTGTGTTAGGCTGTGTTTGAAACCCAGAGGCCACAAGCTCGATCTGGGTCTCCTACAGCCACAGCCACTTGAGCTGTCATCATTGCCTCCCAGGGTGTGCACTGGTGGAAAGCTGGAGTCAGGAGCCAGACAGTGTGTTGAGCCCAAACACTTGGGCATGGGGAGACAGACACCTTAGCCACTAAAGTCCTGCTTCCAGAAATCACCAGATACACATGCACGTTAAGCCCAGACATGTTGAAGGAAGACATGCTCATGCCGTGCACAGTGTCGGCAATGTAGACACCCCCAGTGCCGTGCAGACCACACTTTGAGACACACACCAGGCTCCTAAATCCCTGTGTTCTCTGGGCCATTTCCTTGGACTGACAAAAAAAGAAGAAAATGTGTGCACATTCCACGAGAATGCCACAGCTTCTGGACTAACCCCAAATCTGCCCTGCACACGGTAGCTATGGAAGGGCCTCACATTATCCCACTTCATGCACACAGACCTGAGAATTCATACAGGGGCGCACATTTGGTCATGCTAGCCTAGCAGTTATCTGCAGAAAGGCAAGCCTCCCAGCCCCAGTTGCTGAAAGGTCAGAGTGCTACATCCCAGTCCCTGCAAGCACATCTCTCTGAGCTGGGAAGTACACAGGTTCAGTTACTCACAGCCCTCCTCCCTGCCCCCCGCCAGGCTTTAGGATTTGGCTGGAGTTTCAGGACCTGAACAATTCACTGGGGCGGATGACAGGGAGATCTTAGGCTTTGGGCAGGGAGTCATACCTGAGGCCCCTTGTAATGCCTCTCACACAGCTCCACTTAGAAGCCATCTGAGCTGAGATGGTTCAAAAGCTGAGACAAAAGCTGATACTTGGCCAGCTTGCTCATCCAGCCCATTGCAAAGAGGGGACTAACTGAAGAGCATGAAGGCTTCCCAGTGGGACCTGCCTGGCCAATCAGCAGTCACCCTCCTGCCTCACCTGCCAGGAACCTCCTCGCTCTGGCCTGCTGCCTGCCCAATAAATCCACTGTCCGCTTAGGATGAGCCAGAACCCATTGGTAGAGCACTCAGGACCAGGTCACCATGCTTCCATGTGCTCTCTGCAGTAAACATGGGTTCTGTGGTGTCACACAGAAATCAGCCTGTGGAGAGGCTTTGTGACTCAGAACTGGGGGCAAGAGGAAGTTAAAAATTAAAATTTCTTTGGGCAGGGGAGCAAAGCAAAACAGGAATTGTAGGAACATGTGAGAGTAGTCGTCCCCAGAAATAGACCCTGGGGATGGCCAAACTGATGCCTCTGCAGCATCCACTACCCTCCCATCTTGTCTCCCAGCACACACACATCAGTAGTCCTTATGTGGTTTTCATTTATTCAGACATACAGGTGACAAGCACCCTGTTCCTCTGTAGAATGGCCCTTGCCAGCGTCACCAGGACCTTCGCCTCCCTCAACCTGGTGGTCATATCTCACCTTGCCTTACCTGACTGGATGCAGCTCCCACCCAGTTGATCCTTGCCCCATCCTTGATGCTCTGTCTCTCTCCACCTGCCTGCTTAGAAGCTATGCCCTGTTGGTTTCCCACCTGAGTTCCCTTTCTATTGGTTCTGTAATGATTCAGTAGAAACTGGATGACTTAAAACAGCACAGGTGTGCTCCCTTACATTTTTGAGGTCAGAAGGCAAAAATAAACCAGCAAGGCAGGTTCCTTCTGGAAGCTTGGTCGGGGTGGGGGTGGGAGATGCAGGGAGGGTCTACCCTCTTGCATTCTGGTGAAGTCTCCTGCTTGCCTTGGTTCCTGGCCTCTGGCCAGCCATCTCATCACCTGGCACTGCCTCCGTTGCTGCATTCTCCAATGCCCTGCTTCCCTCTTCCATATGTCAGGACACTTGTGATGACATGGGGCCCTCTTGGATGATCTTCCCCACTCCAGATCCCACTGGACACAGAAGGTAGTGTAGACACAGATTGCAGGTGTTGGAGGAGGGACAGAAGTCGAATGCCCTATTGCCCAGAGCACCATGTGGAATGCTTCTAGCA